AGAAGTAAATATTATTGGTAAACTTCGGGGAGTTTGTGCATTTCCTGACATTGTAAGTGCTTGTCAGAAACACAGGGTTGGCTTTTTTGTAAGACAACATAGAAGGAAATAAAATGAGAACATCCTAAATAATGCATTAGAATTATGAAATCTACTAGTACTAGCAAAATTACAGTAGATGTAAATGCATGGTTTTCACCTCACTTTCTAGTGCTAAAGAAAAGGGTACATTTAGAAATTCTTTCTTTCCAAAAGACAGCACAACCAAAAAAGCAAATGAACTTATCCTGTTAATTGTTGTTAATAGCTTTCTGGGGTGAGAAACAACTTATAATAGTGTTATTAAATTAGTAAGGCATGGAATAATTAATGAAAGTAATTTTGATACCTGGAAGGGCAAGACAAGGTTAATTCATAGGTAATACAGAACAGAAGAAGTTTCTTATCTGCAGTCTAGTTCTTTATTATTATTTCTCAATATCCAAGTAAAACTTAGGGTATTCTCACCAGCTCTGAAAAAACCTGTTTTATTAAAATATAACTCTAATATTGTACTTAATGGTTTTGATGTAAGCTTAAAAAATGTCATAGGAAATATTCTTACAGGACCTGTTCCTTACTTCTTTTGTCAAATCAGCACTCCCACATAAGTAATTTGAAATAAGAGTATTTCTGTTCATGTTAGGATTTGGCAAAAGTAGTAAGGAAGATGATCTAAAGCTGTTTCTGTGGAAGAAAGAAAGGAAAAAAAAAAAAACCAAACTAACTCCTCTGTTTCTAGTATGAATTGGAGCATTCCCAAGGCTGGTCTGGATTTTTATGGTTTATGACATTTCCTGTTTGTTCATGTACCACATGCAAGTTATGTGACTTTGCTGGAGTTTTTCTCTGCAGACTGGTACAATTTTTGTGGAACTGTGCTGGATTGTGAATTTCCTTATTCATGGAAGTCTTTCAAGGCAGTCTTTTCACACAGCTCTCAGATGTGTTCTGACCAAACTGAGCCAGGACAGAGACTCTGACCTGCTTGTATCCAAACTACAACGTTCTGAAGTAGTACTGCCAAACCAAATGTTACAGAAGCAACTAGATATCCCTTCATTTTGCTGTGAGAACTACAAAACAGAAATAAGTGACACTTTTAGGATGATTTGTTTATTTGGTTTTCTTTAATAGAAGCAGGTGCTGCTAGGTTTATATATGCCTGTAACTTACAGTTTTGCTTCTTAGTTTGGGGATGGAAAAGCTTCAGCATAAATCCAGAAGCATCACTTTGAAGAAATGGGGAAACAAACAGATTTTTGTAGTCGTGTTTGTTTCCTTTTTTTTTTTCATTCATGGTTTTCTGATAGTCAGAGAGAGAAACAAGTCAAGAAGAAAAACAAGAAATTGAAGATCCACTTGTATATGTTAATATATGGGGGAAAGGAATTGGATCTCCCCTTCCCATTAAGTTCATAGAGCACTGGATGTTTGAAGTGGTGGGAAGGATTTATGTAGACTAAACAAAGATGTACCCTGTGTAAATTCTTGAAAGCTTTCTTACCTCTCTGTAAAAACCATTCCATTTTCAGCTGGTTTTGTAAGCCTCGAAAACAAAGGAAAGAATGTTTAGATCAGAACTTTTCTAGATGAATAAAAATTATGTCAAAAAACATTGTAGGGGTATGTAAGGTAGGGGTAAAAGCTATCAAATACAAGGATCAGATGTTTTTGTCTGTTTCTAATCTAGAAGCTTATTATTAAAGCAATTAATAATTTAAAATTATTTCTGACTGAGTATTTGGAAAGCTGTGTGCCTGCTTTTGATATTTATGCAGCCATCTAAGGTACTAATCCCAGTCCATTTGGAATCAGTAACAAAACTCCCATTTAAATTATTGTCTCCCTGTGTAGTTTCAAACACAGCTGAGGAGACAATGACTCAGAAAACTGTGAAGCTTTTGTTATTAGAAAAGGAATCGTTCCTTTGACATTTCACAGTGACAAGCTAACTGCAGCAAAAAGAATAATATCAGAACACTTCTGGCTTCAAACAATCTTTATGTATTTTATTTCTAAAATAACTAAAAACTGCCTCTCAAGTTAAATACTGATAATGTCTTTGCTATCTGCAGAATTGAGATCTTTATCAAACAGCTGATTTCTTGTTTGTTTGGATTTGGATCATGGGATAATTTAGATTGGAAGGGACTTCTGGATGTCATTTAGCCTGCTTGAAGTAGATGTCATTACATCAGTCGGTTTGTTACATCAGTAGGTGGCCAAGGCATGGATTTGAAGAAGTTTTGAATATCTCCAGGAGTGGAGATTGCACAAACTCTCTAGGCAGCCCATTCCAGTGTTTCATCACTTTGACCATCCTCGTGGTGAGAGAGATTTTCCTTGGTAACTGCATGGCATTTCTTGTGTCCCCACCACGCACTGCTGAGAAGCATCTGGCTGTAGGTCTTCTCTATTTTTTTGGTAGGTAGTTGAAGGCAACAAGCAGTTAAGATCCTTCCTTTGCATTTTCTTCTTTAGACTGAGTGAGCCCAGTTTTCTCAGCCTTTGCTCAGGCATCATCTGCTCCATTCCTCTAACGATCTTGATGGCCCTTCACTGGAGTTTCTCTGGTAGTGCAATGACTGTCTTTTAAACAGACAGCCCAAAACTGGCTGTAATGCTCCGGGTGTGGTCTCAGGAGTGCCTAATGGAGGTGAAGAAGTCATTTTCCTTGATCAGCCTGCTGCACTTTTGTTGAAACCACCCAGGAAACCACCCAGGTGGCTGCCTTGGTGGCAATGGTCAGCTTGCCCACCAGGACCCCCAGGCCTTTCCTGTAAAGCTGCTCTCTGGCTGGCAAGTGCTCTCTACTGTACTGTTGTAACTGCATTATTCCATCCCATGTGCCTTTGCCTTTGACTTTTATTGGGATTCATGCCAAGCCATTTCTCAAATCTGTCAGTAATTTGCCTGTCTAAATAATAGCCTTACCCTCCAACATGGCACCTGCTCCCCTGGGTTAGTATCATCCATGAAATTGTTGAGGTTGAACTCCATCCCCTCATCCAGGACATCAGTAGAGGTACCATTGGCCCTGGTAACTGGCCAGTGTATGAGTAATGAAAGCATGTTGACGAGATGTGAGTTGTGAGTTCATATGTGAATATGTTTCAGTTTGCTGCTGCTTTGCATTTTATTAATCATCCTAAATGACTGTTTTCCAGTTTCATGGTACAATGATTGAAAATCCATGATTGAGGGTGTATCAAAAATTGTATGTGTTTCATTGAGTCTGCATGAAAGTATTTTTTTCTCAGTTGCAGTGTAGCATCCAAAAAAGTCTTTAAAGTAGGCTTTGATTTTCAGGGTTAAGGCTGGAAAAACAAAGATAGCGTGTTACTGTCCCAGGCTGGCCACTGGGCTCTTATTCTTTCTAGCAGTTGTTCTGATAGTTATGCTTGTTTTATTTTCTCCGCCTTATATCTTGTTAGAAACCATGAAAATAGTTTCTCAGAAAATTTTCATTCTGCTTCTCACATACTTGGTCAATCTCTTCTGCCACCGTTTAGGTCGTCCCATGGCAGTTCCTACATTAATAAAAGACATCTAACTCTAGGTTTCATTTGCTTTCTATTATTTGCTACAGGCTCATATTTATCCCTAGCAGTTTCCTTTTACCAAATACTGGCAGATTATGCCCTTCCGTTTAGTAAAAGTCGGTTTGCTCTACTCTGTTTCATGCTGTTTTTTCACAGCCTTGGTTGGTTGCCTGTACTGCTCTTTACCACACCTCCCTTTAGGAGATGCCAGCCCTGTTAAGGACGACAGCAGGCTGTAGTTTTTGCACCCTTTACAGTTTGATTCATCTTTAAGAGGTTTACAAAACCCAGTTATTCTTGTGGGTGAAAAGAAGGATCCCTTCCCCTCCTACTGCAGCCTTGCATCTTGGCAAAGAAAGCACAGTAAAATTGCAGCTTATTTTTGATAATTTTATGGGTGGGATGTTGTCAAAGAAAGGTTACATGACTGTAATAACATGTCAATCGTACACAGTCTTTTCTTCTCACTTAAGCTGTCATGAGTGAGGAATAATTCTAGAGAGGTTAAGAAAATTATTTAACTAAAGTTGAAGAAAGACGAGAAACTGGCCCTTCCTATTTAGAGCTTTAAATAAAGTGATGGTACACAATGTTCCTAGAAGAATGTGCACTGCTAGTAGTAAACAGAGTGCCTGTTCTCAAAGCATATTGTCAGGAAACTCTCTGTTCGTAAAATGTCTTTGAATTTAACCAAAATCTCTTTTCTTATAGAAAGAAGATAAAGTTTATGTGTGAGTTAATTTTTATAGTTAAAAATGGTAATAAAACTAGTTAAAGTTTATGTAGGACTGAATATATCCACGCTTACTCAACTGAGGGACTTATAAATTTACAATTTTTCTCAACTCTAAACCTTAATAAAATATTCTAGATTTAATTCATTTTAAAGTGGCTTGCCTTCTGGAACCTTTGAATTGCTTTTAAAGACTTTACCTTATGCTAGCTCTCTTTCTAAATTTTGTTTTACATGATGTTTGCACTGAATTGCTGTCATATATCAGAAGAACTTACATCTTTAGGATGCCATGTAATTTCCTACAAACAGCTGCTTAATTTAGGTGTGCTGTTTTTCTGAAATTGAATATAACTTCAGTATTTTAATATAAGATTTGATTGAAATATTGAGTATTCAGTTGACCATCTTGCATTTCAAGAGCATAGATACTCACCATATGACTATGATCACTTCTCTAAAGGTAAATACCTTTCAAGTTTCTGTAAAATGTGACAAAATTCAAATGCAAGTTGAAATAAAAATATTTTATCTGTAGTCTGGTATTGTATATATGAATTGTCACTACAGGTCTTAGTAGTATACTTCTTTCTCCTTTTGCTGTTTTATCTTGCATTTTCTTTTTGCTTTAAGGAATAAGCATATTTGAAACCTTTCCTTTTTTTTTTTCCTCCTCTTTCTAGAGCCAGTATTGTGCAGAAGCGCATAATTTATTTTCAAGATGAGGGTTCTCTCACCAAAAAAATTTGTGAACAAGGTAAGGTAAAGTAAAATATCTTTTTGACCTCCTTGTCGTGTTCTGCATATTTCTCTTAACTCTTTGTATCAAGCTAAAACTTTGAGGCCTTGAATAGTTTCCTCCAGGTTCAAATTTGGGATTTTCCATTCAGTTATGTTCTTTCTTGTCACATATACTGTTCCTTATACAGTCTTCCTTGCTTCCCTCTAAATGTAATGCTTGCAACTTTTTACCTGGTCTTTTGTGATACCCATTTGTTTCCAGGGCACTTAGTTGTTTGAATCCTGGGCCATTTCATCCTTTCCTAAGCCTAAATGTTGCAGCTGGTTATTGCATCCTTCTGGAAAAGTTATATGCTTTGGCTGTCCAGAAATTTCAAACATATTGTGTTTTGAGATCAGCTGAGGTTTTGTCCTTATCAGACAACAATTAGAAACAATCCCCTTTTAAATCTGGAGATGACTCAAATAGTGCATTATTTAAAATGTAGATTTCAATCATTACATCCACTAGTAAATATGGTGGAGGTATTCCAGGGTTCTAGTTTAGTGTAACAGTAAACTTAAAAATAAACAAACAAAAAAACTGTGCTTAACTCAAATTTATTTTCTGGAGTATTTATTATGGCAACTTCACTGTCCTCTGTTTGCTTTGAGTTGTAGCCATTTTCAATGGGTACCTTGCTGTTTTTTCAGACTCAGCCTCGGAAGGTGTGACTGACAAACCAATTTTAGATTGTTGTGCCTGTGGAACTGCCAAATACAGGCTAACTTTTTATGGAAACTGGTCAGAAAAAACACATCCCAAAGATTTTCCACGTGAGTATCATTATTTTGCTTGCACCATGTAGGGAGTGTGAAGAGGGTTGGAGCTTGTTGTGTGACACACCATTACTTATTTGCAGCTCTGCAGTGAAAATTATGACATGTATGGAATCCTGCTAACATTCAGTATTGAAAATCAATGGATCTTTCTGTGCTATACATTACAAGTAAAGCCTATTGATTTGCCTGACATTTTGAGCTGAGGTGTTTATGAGATCATATTTTTAAAGTATCTTTGTGGTGAGAAAAATTCTTTTTTTTTCGTATTGTAGGCTTTGGCTGGTTTATAATGTACAGCTGGGAAATGAGGTTTTAAGAAAAAGTCACAAAGGATGGGCAGCATAGTAACATGTTGATTTTTCCACCATGCTAATCTAGCCAGTTTGTTTCCTGTAAATTCTTTTGAATGATTCCAGTTAGTTTTGGTGAATTTTGAGTCTTGCTGCCCAAGGGCATTAATTGTATATATATATAACTTAGAATACTCTGTCTTCTTTGTCTTTGTTGGTTGAATACAAAGATAAAAAAACACCTGAACTTTTCCTGTCTGGGTTTTTAAGTTTCTGAACCACAGAATAAATATTTTTGCTGCAAGTTTGCTTTTTACAGTTACTCAAGTAACTGTAAAGAGCTGAAGTTACAAAAATGCGTGTTATGCATTTGGTTTTTCATTACTGACTCCACAGTCTGTGGCAAAAAAAGTCTAGTAAACTATTTGAGAACATGAGTCACATTTACGGGTCTTTAAACTTTGTTATGTTGCCTGTGGCTGATGTTTATTATATAGACTTTTTAGGTAGATTTTTAAATAATTATTATTATTGTCACAGTGTCAAAGACCCTTGTTAACCCAAACGTGGTTTGTACCAGCTCACAGTTTTAACAACCTAAGCAATATTGCTTATGCTGAGTCTCATACATTGGAGTTGTACATTGTTCAAATACTATTGGTCAGCATAACATGTGGGAGACAAAATAAACAAAGCCAATAATTGCAGGAATGCTCTTTCGGGCTACTGGGTGATTTATACGTTTGCTGAGTGTGACACTTTATGTGCACTGTTTGTATGGATTCAGCTGATGGTTAGAAACAGGGCATGAGAAAATGACCGAAAACTATGAAATTACTGTGACTTAGTGATGTAATGCTGGGGATAAATGGCCTTTTCTTTTACATCCAAGTCAGTGAACTCATGAAGAGTATGAGTGCATGATGGAAAAAAGGCAAGTTTCAAAAGTTTCTTACGATAGCAGACTCTGTAGCCTGCTTTCCCCAGTTATAAAGTGCTGAATTAAATTAATATTTTACTTAAACTGGAAGAGTGAAGAAATACCCATTTGGTACTTACACAATTAATCCTGGTAGTAACAGCTAATAAAATTTTACATTGAAATTTCTGAAAGTTAAGAAAAAGATCTCATCCAGATATAGTAATATTAAAAATGAAAACTAATCATTGATATTATTCTTTAAAATGTTGAACTTGTGCAGTAATTAGACTAAAATAAAATATTTTTCATTATGGACTGTGGTAAATTACTAAATATTTGCCAAGCCATCACAGAAAATTCTGCAGATCATAAAACTTATATTCTGCATCGTTTCCTTGACTTATTCTCTGATTTGTTTTAAAAATCCCTAAAGAATATGTACTTTGTTGCTTAGCTTTTCTCCAAAGAACTGCTTTTTTCCAAATGCTATTACACAGAAATATTTCTGAAATGTACTGTGCAAAACTTTAAATTTTGGGAAGCTGTTTTGAGGTTTTTTGCAGGTTCCATGGATTAAGAATAATTTGACATTTATTATTATACCGGTGCAATTAAAATACCTCTGTTCCATTAAATTTAAAAGTATATTGTCTAGGAGTTATCAAATGTACCCAGTCTGTAAAGCACTGCTTAAAATAAAACCACTGCCACACAATCTTGTTCTGAGTGTGCCAACTGCAGACTGGAGAGAGGTGTGCCACAGCTGCAGACAGGGATCAACAACTTATTCTTAAAACAATTTTGCTTTTGTGGACCTCAAACAGAAAAGAAAAAAATTAAACTGATTTCCAAACTAAGGCTTAAATAAAATTGAGCATGTTTTTTGGGTAACTTTTGCTAGTTACCACAACTCCTGATAACAGGCAAATGGAAACTGAGTATTTCATTTGCTATTAAATCTGGCTCAAGGGGAACTGTTAAATTTCCTATCACATTTCACCAGTCAGAAAGATTTGTATTTACATATGCCTTGTGGCTTAAAAGTGTTTATTCTCTCTAGGTATCACCCGTGTATGATAACAGGAATACTTATGCTCTCCATCGTGATTCGATAAGGCACATGTGTGAAATGTGTCAGGGGATATATTCTCATGTTGTGATGACACCTTGATCTTTATGCAAAAATACACATATAAGTGTATAAACCGAGAAACTACTCAAAACTATGAAAATGGAGTGAAATAACAGCGTTGGAAAGCTGTCAGTATTCTGTGTGCTGCCTTAAGAACTGGATAGCAGCATTGGATGCAAAATACCTCTGGCCTTGTACTGCTCAGATTATCTCATGCAGAGAAGTTTCTTTGATGCTTAGAGGAAAAGCTTAAGAAATATTAAGTTGTTTCTTTGTTCTCATAAGAAATGGAAGGGTCAAGGTGAGGATTGAAACATTTGCAAATGTAGCACAAATCTTGAGAAAAGTTTAGGGTAGATGTGGTATACTTCAAACAGCTCATTTGGGCAAGCAGGTGGGCCAGGTACTTTCTCTTCAGAACCAGTATCTTTAGGAAGAGGTGAATGAGGCTGTGCTCTGATTGCAAAGGCATCAGATGTTCTTGTCCTGCTTAGGATAGGGAGGGAGAGAAGCTTTGGAGCACATGGAACAATTAATTATCCATTATCCATTTGACAAAAGACTGAAAGGTTCTCTGGTTCCTCTCTGTAGTGATACATTTTTGGTTTATAGGGACTACGTGGAACCTTCTCTTTCAGTAAGCTTCTGTGTCACTGTGTTTCAGGGTAAGCTGCTGTCTGTGGCTTGGGAGACAGTCAGACCTGTGTGCTAGGATGAAAGAGTAGGCAAAACTGGTGGTCCCATCACTGGAGCTGAGTGACAGTATCTCTCTGTGGTTTGACAAGGTGCCACTGTATATCTAAGGAACAATTGGTAGATCTTAGATCAAGAAACCGCCTTCTGTCATTGCAGTCTCTTCAGATATTACCTGTGGACGAGGCAAGGTTTAGTTTTGGTTTTCTCCATTTAGGGCTCAATTAATGATGAGTTTTAATTGATTCTGAAAACATCAGGCCTGCTACAACTCAGAACTCATTAAGTGTATTTTGGTCCAAGTTTAGGACTAAAGAACCTATGGAAGCTCTCTTTGCTGCAGCTAGACCATCTCCCTCATCTGTCTATTCTGCTTGCTACACATTTCTAGCTTTTTTCCCCAACCATTGGTGTTCATTTTTCATTTCTAATCTATTTTCTACTCTCCCATGATTAGGTTCCTGCATCTGACTTTATAAAATTCTCTACACTGTCTTTTTCAATTCCGTTGTCCGACCTTTCACATCTTAAATTTGCATTCCTTTTATTTACTTCATTATTCACTTTTCATTCATTTATTCAGTTTCCAGCTGTTTTTACTGCTACTCTCTGCCTTTTGCATGGCAAAGAAAAATGTTAAATATTGTCTCACTCCATCACTCTGTCTCTCTCATCTCCTACAGCCTTTTCATTGTTACCAGACTCTCTGTTTATGTGAGCAGTTCATTTTCTCATCCTTTTCCTCATATCCATGTTATTTGACATTTAAGTGAATTCATTTTTATTTTCAGGACTGTGGGACTTCTGTGGCTCCCTATTTCCTATCCATTTTCTTTCCAAATCCATCATGCTTTTCTAACATCTTTTCTTTAGACTTTTACTTTTTTTTTTTCTCAACAAGTCAAGAAGCAAGAACAGAAATTCTTTTGCCTCTCTCTACAACTCTTACACTATGAGAAATCTGAGCAAGCAAACTTAGTGAATATAGAAGCACCAAAACTCACTTCCTCACTCCCTTCCTAAATTGAAGAGAATCCCTGCTAATGATGGGGAAAGGAGACATGGTACATATATAATTTAAATATGCAGAAGTAGAAAAAACAGGTGTGCCAGTGCAAATAAGAGCAGTTCTTTATCAGTATTTCAAAAGTTTCTTGGAAGAAATACTAGACATTAGCAAATGTTTCTCCCCTGTTTCAGCAGAAAGCTGCTGGAGGAAGTTTCTGGCTGTAAGCCATTTATAGCCTCGTACCTAACTAGGTTTGGTCACCAAGCTATAAACAAAAACCTATAACATTTAATGACAATGTAATCATGCTTGGATCTACTTTTTGCTGGTAATCTGCTGTTGCCACTCAAACACAGATCTAGTGGGCTGTTACAAACCAGTATCTGTCAGCTAGGAAACAACTTGCTGTTAAATCTGAGAGTGACCACTGAAGCCTTCCCTTGCAGGTTCCCTTCTCAAAACTATTTGATATGGAAATCTAAAAATAAAGGTTTCTTTAACTTCCTGAAGAAGTGTGAGATCTTTGGTGAAGAAAATATATCCTAAGGCAGTATGTTCTGAGGGGCTGATTGATTAGCTGGAATACAATATTTCTTACCATTTCTGCTTGTGTTGTTATATCCAATAATTACCGACCCTTTATACTCAATTCCTGTGGGTCACTGGCTTGTTCTTCCTACTCTAAAGAGGTGGTGTATTGATGTAGTGAGAGCTGACAGCGTGCAATGCCTGCAAAAGCTTGGTGCTGGTGAAGACTGGAGACTTCAAATCTTTAATAAAAATTGGGAACTGTGCTTTGAGGCTGTATTGATTGTTGCTTGGTTTTTGTTTTTCTCCCTGAAAGGACGCACCAACCACTGGTCTGCGATCATTGGCAGTTCCCACTCGAAGAACTACATCCTTTGGGAGTATGGAGGATATGCCAGTGAAGGTGTCAAACAGGTCGCAGAGTTGGGGTCCCCAGTAAAGATGGAAGAAGAGATTCGACAGCAAGTAAGTGTATTTTAGTGCATACTTAAAAAAAAAAACAAACAACCCACAACCAAAACATCTTTCCTTGGCTTGTGAGTGATTTGTCGTTGACAACGTCTGAATGTAATTTTGCTGACTAATCGTCAGTTAAGCGGATAAGGAGATCTTCCTGTCTTTCTGGACTCATTCTTACTCTGGCAAGAGTTTTTGTCTGTGAAAGGAAAAGTAAGTCACAGCATTCTGAACTTAGAAAATCTACATGCTCTAAATATCTGTGTGCATATAGTAGAAAAGTAAACCTCATGTTTCCTGCGTGATTGTGAAGACACAGATTTTGTTAAAGGAAAACCTTGAAGACAAGAAATACCCCTTATTCCCTTTTGAAGTGGTGGGATTTAGTTTATAGTGTATTGTAGTATTTTTATTTTCCGGTAAGCACCTTATCTTCAATTTTATGCAGATTCATTCAAGACAGAAATTACAAGAGAGTGAAGTGATTTTGTTGATGAGCAGGAAAGCTTCACACAATGCACTAATGATATTTGATGAATTGGGATTATGGTTTAAGGACAAAAGAGCCTTTACAGTGTATCATCTTATAGGGGGTTAGTTCAGCGTAGCAGAAAACAATCTTTTAATAGTTTATAGATGATTTTCATTTTTTTACATCAAATAACAAGCAAATTAAATATAGCAGGACACAATGATGACTATTGTTAGGATGTCTTCCTTCCTCACTAGAAACTGAGCTTAGTTATAAGGCAGAAAGAAAATAAATATTATTACATATAACATACAGTTATACTCACAGTGTCACATAGATATATGTGTGTGGGTAAGAGCATATACAATATATAGTTAGGATTGCTCCACATGGGAGAGAAGGCAGAAATTGCCCCCAGCAGCTTATCAACTTGCAGAAGGGAAACAGCATTCAGTAAGAAAAGTTAAAGGCAGAACAGTTTAGGGACAGATGTGGTTTATTGGAGTCTCTGATTCCATTTTCCTCACTCTCCCCCAAATGGATACAGTATTACAAACGAGCAGTAGTCAGGGGCAAGTTGGGGTAGCAGGGACACACTGCCAGGGAGAGCAAAATGGGAGAGCAAAAGGGCTTGTTTCGATATTTCATGTGCCTGCTTTGCTCTGCCAGCCTTTAACTTGTGAGAGGTGTGACTTAATGTTTAATTGATATGCAATATTTTAATGTATTCCTGGGACATTTTCACTTCTGCCAAATGTCTTGAGAATGAAAGATTTCAGAACAGCTGGAATTTTATAGGAATAGTAGGGTTTCAATTATTCAATGCCCGTTCTTTTTTTAATGAAGAAAAGCAAAATAAATATTGTGGAAATGGAAAACAGTACTTTACACTTCAGTAATGAACAAAAATATGTCTTAAAATAATGAGTGATTATTTACTATTTAGATGCACTCTGCAGAATGCCTCATGTTTTGCTTCCTGATGAATCACCTCATTTTGTGTGTAATACAAATATATGAATATATACATATAAATACATAAAAAATATAATTATATATATAATATATAAATATATATGCTGTTTCCCTATTAATGATTATTTATGTATCACAAGCACGCTTTCCTTAATAATCTGCTTTCCAAACAAAAGAATATATTCCTTAATTTTGAATACATGTAAGAAAACCTCTGTACCTACAGTCATTTTTGCTACATTTGTTTGGATCTTTTCTATATTTGATACTTCTGAGGGTGAAGTCAGCAAAACTTAAAGCAGTGTTTAAAATGATAATGTTGATTAATCATTGTCTTTCTTGGTAAAGACACAGTACTTTGAGAGCTTCAAGGTAACACTTAGATCATATGCAGAGTTACGTAGAGAGATACAAGAAAAAGATTCAATTATATTTATATAAACAGTGTAAAACAACCTCAGACTGTTTTGCCCATGAGAAAACTTGTATAGCAAAAGGCTTTATGCACTAAATTCCATTCCCACTTCTGTGATGCTTAAGTTTATACAATCATGGTACAAGAACAGCTGGTGTGTTGGACATGAATCTCCCAAGGCCAAGAAAAATAAAATAAAAACAGCTTATAATTTAATATATAAAAGGGATATGAAAGGAATATGAACGGGCAAAAACAATTTCAATGTGGAGGGAAATGTGATGGTTGATATTGTTTAACCCATAATAAGCCTCAGTTCACCTGGAAACAGAAAATAGACCTTGATCCTTTGCACTTTTACAGAGAAGTAGCAGCATTTTATCCCAGCAATATGACACAAACCCAGATGGTTTAAAATTACAGCAGAGTATTCCATATCCCATATGTAAGTTATGATTTTTGCCTCTTACTTGGGAAATCAAGATTTTCTCATAGCAGGCCTACATGAAATAAAAAAGTCAGATAGTTACTGTCTTTGTACTTAAGAAGTTAATTTCTTTCCACAGTCTTCACAAATACTTTATAATTAGGGGTTTGGCACGTCTCAGTTGTGACTGTACAAACATTAGGTCTGCTTCTGAAGCAGCAGGGTCATGGGGAGAGTATGGGATGGAGAGCAAGTAGAGGTGGTGCAGTTATGGAAGGTAAAGCTGAGCACTGGGAGAAGAGGCAGTGAATCTGGAAAAGAATGAAAATCGTGTCTCTCTCTGCTTTCCCAAATCTGTGTTCCTTGTGCTACATATTTGCAAAAAGGGGATGTATTTATACGCTGGATTCAAATCAGAGGTGATTGTGACTCTTACAGTACATCAAATAGATAACTGGCTACAGCTTCAGGGCTTGCTGAAATCGGACATGAAATTAATGAACGTCTCAGTTAATCTCAAAATCAGGATGTCTGATTGTGTCAATGGTGCAATAATTCCCCAGATTCTTCTCACTCAGACTATCCAAACAATGACCAAGTGTTATAACTGGATATTACCTACAACAGTGTGGCGTATCATCAAATGCCATAACGTTTTCATTGAGTTTATTTGACTTCTTATTTCTTTTTAACATGCGCTTAAGGTGCACCAATATTTTTGAGAGCTTTTGAGGTAAAATTCTGCAACCAAGACAGCTAGTAATGCCAGGAGATAATTTGCTGACATATAAGTCACGCTGCCTTTTTTTTTTTTTAATTGCATTTTGTCCCTTGCAATATCCCTACCTGCCTTGGAATTTGACAGCATTGCTTCCTTCCCCACATGTCCTGGTCTACCTCAGGATCCATTTGCCTCTTTTCCATTTCTTATTCTGCCTTTCTTTCACCCATCTCTTGTCCTCCCAGCCTTCTGTTGTGGGTTGATGGGAGGATGCAATTCATTAAGATCAGGCTCCAAGCAGCTTTGATATTTTTGAAAACACAAGAAAGGCAATGTCTGTGCTTCATTCTGATGCCTGGACTCAGAGCTTTGTGCAGCAGCATTTTCACAGTGGGTAATGCCCTTCTTACAGGGCCAGACTTGGATTTGGGAATCTGCTGTGTGTCTGCTGTGTTTTGTAGGGAGTTTCTAAGGTGAACACATAGACACATACTTATGTAACCAGCATCCGTGTCATTGACATTATCCAAGGTTTTATTAAAGAGGAAAAAATCTGTCTAATGATTTTTATGATTTATTACCAAAATAATACTGTGTACGAAACAAAAAAAAAAAAGTCTTTCCTTAAAGGACCTTTGTTAAGAAGTGTCCTAACAATTATGTCATTAACTAAAGATTCTCAAGCGTGAATATTTCTGCTCCCCATATGACAGACTGCTGCATCATCATCAGCTTTTCTTCCTGACTAGGCACCTTTGACTGCTCTGATTTGTGTTGTTACTGTAAAGAGCCCATGTGGGATTTTTGCATGGATGACCCTGGGTACTGTAAACTTGCTTTGTAGTTTGTTTTTCTGGGAGAACTTAAAGGAACTAATCAGCCTTTTTGTTAAACTCTTCCTGGCAGCCTGAAAGGAAAGCCACAGCACATAAGAGTTTTACTAAAACAATCTGTCAAGTGGTTGATGTGTACAATAGGATAATTCATGCGTTATACTTCAGGGGCTATAAATGAACAAACAAAGGATGGAAAAGGAATTATGTGAGGAAAAGAATGTGCACTGACCTCTCATTTCTCTGAAATATATTCACACTTTCACTTTGTTTTTAGAAAGTCTGATGTCTCCAGAACCTGTTATTTGATAAACTTCCTTGTCAGAAACAAACACAGAACCTGAAAGGAAAATCAAATTGTGACTGCTGTGTTTAAACAAATGAAAAACCAGATGCAGTTAAAACAGGAATCAGAAGAAACAAAGTGTAATGCTAGATGTCATATCCTGTGCAGATGAAACAAGATAAAAATAGACATTGATTTAAATATCTTGCACCTTAAGAGAACTGATTTGTTTTTTCCTAATTATTTTAGAATAAATATTGTCATTTTACCACCTTTTTTTTTTTTTTTAAACTAGGACAAGTAATATTCTGTGCCTTGCCACCTTCTCCAGGAAGTTCAGTTTGTACTCTGTGCTTGTTCCCTATGGACACATAGGTGACATTCTTTCGGGTTTGGTTTAATGCTCTCTGAAATGTCAGTAAGTGGGATGACTTCTTAGATTGTCTTTAGTGACCTGAGATGAAAGCTGACTGTGCCTCCAGACCTTTCAGAATAGCAAGTTCTGCTTTCCAGGAAGATATGTATAAAGTTTTTGACACATGATAATTTAGGTTATGTGTATGAATTGAAGATGAAACCTGAAGCATAAAAAAAATTCTATAGAACGAAATGTATAATTGCTATGATTCCATCCAGCTATGATTCCACCCAAGCATTTATTTTTACAAAATAGTTCTGATATGGATTTTTTAAAATATATCCACACAATTTAACAACAAAAAAAAAGAAAAGAGAGTAAAAATTAAAGTAAATTCTTTGCTGGATTGATCCTGATTGATCGATTTTTTTTTTTTTGAGAAGTGTAATTTCAGTATTTCAGCTGAATAGTTACCATTTTATTACCTCTTTGGTAACACAATGCTATATTCTTCCACAGAAG